CTATCTATCTATCTATCTATCTATCTATCTATCTATCTATCTATCTAAAATACCACTCATGCATCATCAGAAAATCTCCAGAACCGTAAAACCTATAAACTTGAAATCTGGCACGTATCTTCCTCTTGGCTTCTAGGTGCTCACTAAGAAAAGATTTTTCGAAATGACCATCAGAGCCTTAGAATTTCCTATATTATTATTATTAACAGGCTCTGATGCTAAGGAGTTCTCCTCCCCCTCCCCACCTGGAAAGAAATGTCTTCCAAATGCAAAACACAAGCAGAGAAGAGGAGTTTCGGTTTCAATTTCACAGCACCAAGCAGCTTCAGTATAGAACAGTTGAGCTAAGCCACGCCCAGGCTCCTTGCTGTCTCCTTCTTGCTCACACAAATACTGTTTCAGTTTCCAAACAGCCCTCAACTCCCTCACACACTGACAGGACACTAGCCAGATGAATACCGATGGATGCTGGTAGGCAGAGGCAGAATTCCACCCCCCCTTATTTTCCTCCCCAAAAACTAAGCCCGAACACATAGCTTCGTAGCGAAGCACGGGTATCGAGCTAGTAAAGGATAACCCTGATTGTTAAGGAACAGTAGGGTAGCCAATGCTTTTCACAGAACTGTCAGAACCTCGAGTCTGGGTCATTTTGAGATGGGGGAAGGCTTTAAAAGGGGGGAATGGGTCCCTTAAGCCCCGCAAAGCTTGAGGCATTCACTTTTCTTGTAACAACCCAGGATACAAAACAAAACGCAAGAAGAGGCAGCTTGGCATACACCTTTGTGACAAGGATAGACGTAACCTGGCAAACGCCAAGCTGGTCTGTTTATGAGCTAGAAAAAAGGGCCCTTGATCCGGCTGCCATGGCAGCCCCCTGCTAAAAAGGCAATTTTGTGCCAACTCAGATAGCTGCTAATCCAGTTCTACAGAGGAATGATTGACTCTCTCATTTGCTCCTCTGTAACCCTCTGGTTTGGCTTTGACGGATAGTCAGGACTGCAGAAAGAAGCAATTGCACCCAGCCTGCCTTCCATGGAGGACCTGAATACTGCACTAGCCAGAAAGGGGGCTGAGAAAATATCTACAGACCCCTCTCATCCTGGACATAATCTGTTTCAACGTCTTCCCTCAAAATGGCGCTACAGTGCATTGCACGCCAAAACAAATGGTGTGGGGTCTCCTGCTTGGGTGGGGGTTGGACTAGATGACCTACAAAGTCCCGTCCAACCCTGTTAATCTGTTAAATTATTAAATAGACCACAAGGTCAGTTTCCCCTCCCCGCCATGCTATCACTCTGCTGCACAACTAATTCCCCCAACACTGTCAAACCACTTAGTAGGGCTGTATTACTACTGGTATTATCCATCCCATCTTTCCTCTCACCTATTTCCTTATCATCTTATGACTGTAGCTTTGTTGCTTGTATCTTATGATTTATATTGACTATTTAAGTATCCTAGTATGATTCATGTTGATTGTTTATATAGCGTCCTACGATTGTGTTGTATCTTATGATTTATGGTAATTGTATTTCACAATTATGATCATGGTTTATCAGTCTGTTGTTGTATGTACACTCTGAACGTCTGCACCAGAAACAAATTCCTTGTGTGTCCAGTCATACTTGGCCCATAAATAATTCTATTCTATTCCATTCTATAATTCTGTTCCATTCTATAATAATATTCTATTCCATAATAATATTCTGTTCTATTCTGTTCCATTCTATAATTCTGTTCCATTCTATAATTCTATTCTATTCCTATTTCTATTCTATAATTCTACTCCTACTCTACTCCTGCTCTTTTGTCGTGAGCTGCTCTGCCCTGGCAGGAGAGTCCCAAGAGAAACTCCACAGACTGGCCTGTCCGCAAAGGGGCAAAGTTTATCCCTGCTTGTTTGCAATGACTGATAAAGCCAAGATTATGTTTACAGCAGGAGGGACGAGATTTGCTTCCAAGGCCTGAGCAATCTTTCAGGCACTGAACAATACGAGATAACTGAGCTTGCCTCAGCTCCAGGAACTCCGAAACCAACGGTGAAAGGTCCTGTCAAGGTCGTGCATTTTTGGCTTGGCACCTTGCTGGCATCCTGGCATCCATCATCTATTGGAGGGGCGGGAGGAGAGGAAATAGCACAACTGTAACAATAGCATTTAGACTTATATACCACTTCACACTGCTTTCCAGCCCTCTCTAAGCGGTTTACAGAGTCAGCCTCTTGCCCCCCAACAATCTGGGTCCTCCTTTTATTCACCTTGGAAGGATGGAAGGCTGAGTCAATCTTGAGCCTGGTGGGATTCAAACTCCTGGCAGTCGGCAGAATTAGCCTGCAATATTGCATTCTAATCATTGGGAAGGGAGGGAGGGAGGGAGGGAGGGAGGGAGGGAGGGAGGGAGGGAGGAAGGAAGGAAGGAAGGAAGGAAGGAAGGAAGGAAGGAAGGAAGGAAGGAGATGGGAAGGAAGGAGATGGGAAGGAAGGAAGGAAGGAAGATAACAATAGCACTTAGACTGATATACCGCTTCACAGGGCTTCACAGTCCTCTCTAACCAGTTTACAGTCAGCCTCTTACCCCCAACAATCTGGGTCCTCATTTTACCGAGCTAGGAAGGACGGAAGGCTGAGTCAACCTTGAGCCAATCAGGATCGAACTGCTGGTAGTCGGGAGAATTAGCCTGCAACACTGCACTCTAACCACTACACTACCATGGTTCCTAATAGGCACTAAGCATTTATGCGGGTAGAGATGTGAAAGAGGGAGGGGGAAGTGTTGGGTCTCCGGCCTGGGTGGGAGGGTTGGACTAGATGACCTACAGGGTCCCTTCCAACTCTCTTAAATCTGAATCTTTCCTGTTTGTGCTTTCTAAGTGGCAGGCTTGATGGAAACCAGAGGTGTGAGAAAACCAGCCTGTTCCGGTCTTTAAGGCCGTGAAGTTTGGGGATGGAATGAGAATTGCATCAAACATCCAAGCCGTTCCCAATATAGCTAGGCACAATAACTAGGCGGCACACCATTGGGTGGGTCTAGTTTAATGAAAAGAAGACACGATAGCATTTTTTCCAGTATTTGAGGGGCTGCCACAAAGAAGAAGGGGTCAATTTTTTTGTCCAAAGCACCTGAAAGCAGGACAAGAAACAATGGATGGAAACTAATCAAGGAGAGAAGCAACTTGGAATTAAGAAGAAATGTCCTGATGGTGAGAACAATTAATCAGTGGAACTGCTTGCCACCAGAAGTTGTGGTTGCTCCATCACTGGAAGTTTTTAAGAAGAGATTGGATATTCATTTGTCTGAAATGGTATAGGGATTCCAACCTAAGCAGGGGGGGTTGGACTAGAAGACCTCCAAGGTTATTCTGTTCTGTTCTGTATTCTGTTCATTGGTCAAGGGAGAGGGCCGGGATGAAGGGGCAACGTTCGTAAACTTTTGCGTGGGAACCCTGGTCTTGTTTTGTTTGCCACCGCTAATCCTTAGTCCAAGAACCCCTCACTTTCACCAAAGGGAGTCGAGGGTCTTTCTTTCTTAGGGCTCCAGCTGGGGCAGGACTGACAGATTCCGGGAAGCAGTTCAGAAATATCTGGAGCACCACAGGTCTTGTCCCTGGAGCAGAAATGCCCAAATAGTTCTTGCCATCATAGGTGATGACCTGCTGAGAAGCTAATTCCCAAAGGTATGCCAGGTTTTGCCTGGCCTGTATATACAATGCAAGCAGTCCTGGTGTCAGGGCTCCGACAAATCCACCCCCGTTCAAATCGTAAGTCTCTAGCCACATCTCTCAGAGTAAAAAAAAAATTGATTTATTAGGAGTGACCATGTCGGCGTTACCCGGGTGCAGCCGACTCTGAGACACATCATTCATTTCACCCTTGACCCTGGTCTTCCCCCCACCCCCTGGATATATATTCTCCAATGGGACACATCCATAGCCAAGAGCCATCAGTCATGCTCTCCAGTAATAATCTTGCGTGCCAACAGCTTCGGCTGCCCAGCAATTATCTGAAGCATCTAAGGAATGCCCTACTTTCCCCACTCACTTTCTGCTGGCAACTAAAGAGAGACCAATGGTTACAGGCAGTCCTCAACTTACAACAGCTCATTTAGTGACCGTTCAAAGTTACCATGGCACTGAAAAATGTGTCTTGTGTTGTTGTTGTTTTAAATTACAACCTTTGCAGCAACCCCCCCCTTCCCATGGCCACGTGATCAATGGCACCTGGTTCCTATTTACGATGGTCGCAGTGTCATATGACCATGTTTTGCGACCTTCTGATGAGCAAAATCAAGGGGGAAGCCAGATTCACTTAGCTGGGTTACTCATTTACCAACTGCAGCAATTCCCTTAACAACGATGGAAAGGAAGGTCATCAAATGGGGCAAAACTCCACGTCTCGCTTAGCAACAGAAATTTTGGTCTCAATTGTGGTCTTAGGTCAAGGACCACCTATACCTGACCTCTCTCTCTCTCTCTCTCTCTCTCTCACACACACACACACACACACACACACACACAAATCCCGTCCCTCCTTTTTTATTAGCCTATATTTATGCTAACATTTCTTACCATATATAAATATGCTAATATTTCATTTTGCCCAGATTCAAAATGAAAGTTTAGGGCAGAGGCTCATGACAGTAACTTTAATCATGCATGAGGGATCTTGAATGCACTAAATTTTATCATGGCCATTGAACCATCGAGTTTCCTCCTTCAACATTCTTGGCTTGAACAATCAGGAACAAGCCAAAAAAAATGCAATTGCTTGCCAAAAATTTACTTTCCCGGACTTTCTGTGCACCTGCTGCAACACGTCATCCAATCTCCACCACCCCCCTCCTCACAGGTGAAACCCACTCTTTAGGTAGAACAGCTCCCCCCCCCCCCCCCAAAAAAAAAGGTACGTGGTGTGGGAGGGTTTCCCCAGCCTGAAGAATCAGACGAAGCATGTACAATGAGGGTGGATTTAAATCAGGGGTCTCCAACTTTGGCCACTTTAAGACTTGTGGACTTCAACTCCCAGCAAAGCTGGCTGAGGAATTCTGGGAGATGAAGTCCACAAATCTTAAAGTGGCCAAGGTTGGAGACCCCTGATTTAAAGAGCCTGCATTCACACAGCATATTTACCCAGGTGAGCTGATCCTAGTTAAGTCAAATAACTCAACATTTTGAGACTGCGAGCAGGAAAGAACCAGAATCCTTCAAGGGGAAAAGAAAGGACTTCTGAGGTTTGTGAACTATCTTGCATTAATTTTTTTTTTAAATATCATGATATAGGTTGTCCTCTACTGACAACAGTTCTTTTAGCAACCTTTCAAAATTACGACGCCACTGAAAAAAGTGACTTATGACCATTTTTCACACATAAGACCTTTGCAGCATCTCCATGGTCACGTGGTTTACATTGGGATGCTTGACAACTGATTCATATTTACAACGGTTGCAGTGTCCCTGGGGGGGGGTCACGTGATCCCCTTTTGTGACCTTCTGACAAGCAAAATCAACAAGGAAGTCAGAATTCACTTAAACAACTGTGTTTCTAATTGAACGACGACACCGATTCCCTTAGCAAACGTGGCAAGAAAAATGGGGCAAAACTCACTTAACAGATTTCTCACTTAGCAACATACATTCCAGGCTCAATTGTCCTCGTAAGCTGAGGACTATCTCTACTAAATAAAGGTAGATGCAACAGCCTAGTCATAAAATACACTAATAATATATCTAAAGCAAACAAATCACACGCTTAAAGGGATACTCAAAGCTAGGAGGGTAAAATAATACAGAGCAGCTGAGAACACAAACTCAGCAGGATTAAACAGGCGCCGAGTAATCTGTGGCTCAGATGGGGAAAATTATTATCCTTCTAAATGCATTGTGTGAACCATCCCAATATGCCATCCTCACATTTTAGCATTACGTGTGCTGTGGACACCCTATTTGCAAAGCCAGGTAGGGTGTTGTGTGGACACAGAATGGCATCAGCATGTCTCAATCCCCATACGGGTAGTGCAGTTCATTTAGTGACCGTTCCAAGTTACAATACCGCTGAAAAAAGTGACTGATGACCATTTTTCACATTTAAGACCGTGGGTCATAATGATCACATCCCCGCGGTCACCATCCTCTTTATGATGGTGGCAGGGTCATATTTATGATGGTTTGCATCCTGAGGTCACATGCAAATGACTCATATTTATGACGTTGGTTGATCAATGTGATTATTTGTGACCTTCTGACAAGCAAAGTCAATGGGGAAACCAGATTCATTTAAAAACCAAGTTACTAACTTAACCACTGCACGGTTTCACTTAACAACTGTGACAAGAAAGGTCGTAAAATGGGCCAAACCTCATTGAGCCTACCAACAGACATTTTGGATTCCATTTTGGCCGTAAGCCGAGGACTACCGTACCTGTATCTGCATTCTCACATACAACATTAAAGGCACACCCCTCTCCTGCAAGGGAGGCTCACACAGCATTAAGGCATAACATGCTTATTAAAGTTCACAAAACTTATCCACCGATGTTTGTAAAAAGAGAGTTCCTGGTTTATCACACCTGAACTGCGATTTGTGCAAAAAAAAGGGGGGGGGGTTAAACAAACCAAGGCTTGAAAAGGGATGCAAACCAAGTTAGAGCTGATTACTCCAGCACTCTTAACTAATTTACTGACTAAACATATGAATCAGAATCAAGCTGGAAGGGACCTTGGAGGTCCTCTAGTCCAACCCCTGTTCAAGCAGGAGATCATACACCATTCCAGACAGGTAGCTGTCCAGTCTCTTCTTTAAAACCTCCAGTGATGAAGCAGCACCAACTTCTGGTGGCAAGCAGTTCTACTGGCTAATTGTTCTCACTGTTAGGAAATTTCTCCTTAATTCTAGTTGCTTCTCTCCTTGGTTAGCTTCCAATCCTTGTTTCTTGTCTTGCCTTCTGGTGCTTTGGAGAATAAGCTGACCCCCTTTTCTTTGTGGCAGCCCCTCAAATACTGGAATACTATCACGTTGCCCCTGGTTCTTCTTTTCATTAAATTAGACATACCTGCAACTGTTCTTCCTATGTTTCTGCCTCCAGTCCCCTAAATCATCTTAGTTGCTCTTCTCTGCACTCTTTCCAAAGTCTCAACATCTCTTTTTGCAACGTGGGGACCCAAAACTGGATGCAAAATTCCAGCTGTCTCCTTCCTAAGGCTTTATAAAATGATACTAATAGGAAAATATAATATAAAATAAATAACCAGGACTCCCCACTAGCCAGGATGCAGCCGCCGGGTCCTCCACTAACCTGGTTCAGCATGACGCGGCCCCAGACGCCCGCAGAAATACCCCTGCAACGGGGTCCAGTCAACGCGTGTCGGGACGAGCACTTCGAATAGCTTTTCCGGGCCGGATTCGCAGAGTTTTGCTTTCCTGGGAGCGGCAGCGACTTCTCTCGCCTCTAGGCGGCGCCAGAGAGGCCTGTCCGCTCTGCGCTTCACGGGCGACGCCGCGCCCTCGGCTCCGCCCCTGACTCCGCCCCTTTTCCCTCAGAGAAGCTGCCAGCAGCGCCGAACCCGCCCGGCGTTAAAGCTCGTCGTCCTCCCGCATTCCAGGCTCTTTTAAACTCCTAGGAAAGGGGCGTGGCTTCCACTTAAAGGGACAGCTCCTTTTTTTCCACCTCGCGCGCCAATTGACTTCTTCAGCGCTGTTGCGGACGTTGAAAAGCAACGTTAGGGGATCTATTTCAATCAATCAGAATAGAGTTGGAAGGGATCTTGGAGGTCTTCTAGTCCAGCCCCCTTGATCAAGCAGGACACCCTACCTCTCTCTTCATACTCTACATAAATGACCTCTGTGATCATATTAAGAGTTCTCTTTGCTGATGATGTAAAGCTATTCAACACCACCGACAATACTGCTACCCTCCAAAAATACCTTGACTATGTATCAGAATGGTCAAACAAATGGCAACTTCAAATCTCAACAAATAAATGCTCTGTCCTACATATTGGCAAAAAAAATCAGAAAATAAAATACAGGCTGAATAGTCAAGACCTTGTTGAGGATCCAAACTCTGTCAAGGACCTTGGAGTACTCATCTCTAATGACTTAAGTGCTAGAGCCCACTGTAAGTACATAACCAAAAAGGCATTAAGAGTTGTTACCTAGTCCTACGTAGCTTTTTCTCCAGTAATATCACGCTACTAACTAGAGCATACAAAACATTTGCTAGACCAATACTCGAATACAGCTCCTCAGTCTGGAACCCACATGTGTCTGATATTAACACAGTGGAGAAAGTCCAGAAATATTTCACAAGAAGAGTTCTCCGCTCCTCTACTCATTGCAGAAGACCTTATGCCACCAGACTCGAAATTCTAGACCTAGAAAACCTAGAACTACGCCGCCTTCGGTCCGATCTAAGTATAGTATATAAAATCATACATTGCAATGTCCTACCTGTCAATGAATACTTCAGTTTCAATCATAACAATACAAGAGCACACAATAGATACAAACTCAAGGTTAACCGCACCAAACTTGATTGCAGGAAATACGACTTCAGCAACAGAGTGGTCAATGTCTGGAATACTCTACCTGACTCTGTGGTTTCTTCCCCAAACCCCAAAAACTTAGACTTTCTACTATTGACCTCACCCCTTTCCTAAGAGGTCTGTAGGGGGCGTGCATAAGCGCACCAATGTGCCTACCGTCCCTGTCCTATTGTTTCTTTTATTTTTCTTATATGCATCCATTTCATGTATTCATAACTATGTTTATTCTTATATCTATTATCTTGTAAGTGATTGACAAATCAAATTAAATAAAAATAAAATACACCATTTCAGACAAGCGGCTGTCCAGTCTTTTCTCCTTTTTTGAAAAAGTGTTTTTATTTATAAAAACAAAAACAAACAAATAAAACCATCTTCTGATTCTACAATGTGTCGGTTGGGTACATATATCTTGTGCACATAATAATATTATCACACATTTCTTGATTGTTTATATTTATAACCATTCTAATCAATATTTTATATTACATTTGTCAATTGTTATATTATCCTTAACATTGTAATTATTAACTTTCAAAAATTTATTACATCCTTACCTAAATTATATTCATTCTCTTACTCAATATAACTCAATCAATTACGATATACTATTGTTACAAGTTTCAACTTCTTACTCTTCTACCTAGCCATTCATAAAATAAATTCCAAATTTTATAATAATCTTTTTCTTCCTGTTCTCTAATTGCCATTGTCAATCTACTCATTTCTGCACATTCCATTATTTTCTTAATTGTTTCCTCTTCTGTCGGAATTTTCTCATTTTTCTAATTTTGTGCAAATACAATTCTAGCTGCTGTTAATACATTAATAATCAAATACATTATCTCTTTATTGTAACCTTCAGGCAAAATTCCCAATAAAAATGTCTCTGGTTTTAAGTCTATTAGTTGTTTTATCATTTTTTCCAACCACGTGTGCATTCTAGTCCAATATTTTTTAGCGTCAATGCATGTCCACCACATATGGTAGTATGATCCAGGTATCTGATGACATTTCCAACACTTTGCTGGACTGCCATCTGTCAGAAAAGGTGTTGGGTGGGGGGTGGGGGGTTGGACTAGATGACCCACAAGGTTCCTTCCAACCTTCTTAAATCGGACTCTTTCCTGTTTGTGAGAAATACTCCCTGCAGATCTAAGTAGAAAAACGTTGAGAACTAAATCAGGACTTATAGTCTGTAGCCCCTGACTCCCCTTTCCAAAACCTGTCCTGTAAGTGCTTAGTTTATAGGTAGTCCTTGACTTACGACCGCAATGGAGCCCATAATTTCTCTTGTTATTAAGTGAGACATTCATTAAGGGAGTTTTGCCCCCATTTTAGGACCTTTCTCCTTGAATCTGGCTACTGCCCCGCTGATTTTGCTTGTCAGAAGGTCGCAAAAGGAAAACACAGCACTGAAAATAGTGACTTATGACCGTTTTTCACACTTATGACCATTGCAACATTCCCATGCTCACGTGATCAAAATTCAGGTGCTTGGCAACTGACTCGTATTTATGACGGTCATTGTGTCATGCGATCCCCTTTTGCGACCTTCTGAAAAGCAAACTCAAGGGGGAATTAAGATTCACTTAATGACCCTGTCATTAACTTAACCACTGCAGCGATTCACTTAACAACGATGGGGAGAAAAGTTGTAAAAGGGGGCAAAATTCACATCACAAATGTCTCACTCAAGCATAGAAATTTGGGCCTCCATTGTGGTCGTATGACGAGGACTACTGTACATGAAACAAAATGTAGAAGCGGCAAACCACAGTAAAAAATAATAATAATAAAAGGGTTGTTTTAGATTCTAGATTGTGCAAGATTCTCTCTAGCCGCGTTCAGAGCGCATTATCCAAAGCATTAGCAAAAGGGCCATTCTGGGGAGGGGTCTTATTTCTTCCCTCTCCCCTGGCTGTGTAGTTGTGACTTTCACAAATATGTGAATGCAGCTATTAAAGTTGTGCATTACATACTTGCAAGGGTGGGATTCAGCCGGTTCGAGCTGGTTCGGCCAAACTGGATGTTAAATTTACATCTGGTTCGACGAACCGGTAGTGGAACCGAATGGCTGGCCCCTCCCCTCCCTCCCCTCCCCTCCCCAGAGTCTCCATGCAGCCCACTTTCGATGCAGGTAAGTGCAGGGTATGCGCGGAGGCTCTGGGAGAGGGAAAAACGGCCCTCCCAGAAGTACTGGAAGTCCGGAAACGGGCCTGTTTCCGTCTTCTGGAGCCCGGGGGAGGCCATTTTCGCCCTCCCAGAGTCCCGAGGGAAGCCTCCGGAAGGGGAAGGGGAAAAACGCCCCTCCCGGAAATTCCAGTAGGCCACGCCCACCATGGCCACACCCACCCAGCAACCAGGCAGAAAACTGGTTGCTGGGATTTGTGAATCTCACCCCTACATACCTGCAAGGTCATTTCTGCAGATCATTTAAGGAGTGAGAGAAGATGACATGCCACTTTGTTTGTTCTCTCTCCGTCCTGGACGCTTGGCATCCACACTGCTTGTTCCAGGAAACTGAAAACAGGTCTTCATTCTCCACAGGGCGAGGTTGGCATTCCCCCCCACCCTCTTAAAAGAATGAAGCCGTGGCAGATTTAAGACTTATTGCTGGAAGCTGGCTCAACAGCAGCCCACTGCCAGAGGGACTTAGGAGTCCTAGTAAACAACCACTGAAATATGCCGTGTGCTGCAGCTGCCAAAAAAGCCGTCGTGATCCTAGGCTGCATCAACAGGGGGATAGAATCAAGATCACGTGAAGTGTTAATACCGCTTTATAAGGCCTGTGTAAGGCCACACTTGGAATACGGCATCCAGTTTTGGTTGCCCTGATACACACACAAAAAAAAAGATGTTGAAGCTCTAGAAAGAGTGCAGAGAAGAGCAACCAGGATGATTAGGGGACTGGAATGGCTAAAACATACGAAGAACGGTTGCAGGAACTGGGTGTGGCTAGTCGTGAAGAGAAGGTCTAGGGGTGATATTCCAATATTTGAGGGGCTGCCATGGAGAAGAGGGGGTCAACTTATTTTCCAAAATACGGAAAGGGAGGCAAGAAAACAATAGATGGAAACTAATCAAGAAGAGAACCAGCCTAACACTAAGGAGATTTTTCCTGACAGTGCGAACCATTTACCAGTGGAAGAACTGGCCTTCAGAAGTTGTGGGTGCCTGAAATTAGAGAGCAAGAAGATCAATCTTATATGATATGGGATTTGTTTTATCAATGGTTGGACAAAAAGACATGGTAATGTTAATAGATTAGATAATTTTGTAATAGAAGTTCAATAGATGGATATAAAATATAATAAAGACATATATAACCATTGGATGAAAGTACAATATAAATTTCAGAATAAAATTTGGAATATCTCGTATAAAATGATGGAATAAATAGTTTAGTCATGGATGATTAATAACTGATAAATATATAAGCATATGTTAGTTTGACAATGTGAAAATCTATACAAACTATGAGTAATGACTATGAAAGGATAGCACAAAAGACTTGTAACTAACTGACACACTGTATGTATATAAAATGGAAGGTGGTTTTATGTTTTTATGTTTTGTTTGTGTATGTTTGTCTTAAAAATAAAAACTTTTATTAAAAAAAAGAAGTCGTGAGTGCCTATTCTGTTCTATTCTATCCTATTCCTTCCAACATCTATTCTATTCTATTCTATTCTATTCTATTCTATTCTATTCTATTCTATTCT